AACAAGTGTTGCTGTAACTGCTCCACGAGGCTTTCCGGCTTCAGGATTTTAGGGTTCAAGTTCAGGGCTTGGGAGTTTAGGGTTTAGGGTTTAGGGTTTGGGGTTTAGGATTTTGGAAGCGTTGCCTCAGCCCGTTTCTCATGCGAGTTGGATTTCGGGGTTCCAGCCGCTGGTGCAAGAATCTACTGTAGGCGTAACAGAGTAGGTTTTAGGGTTGAGGGTTTAGGGATGCAGGGTTTAGGCAAGGTTGAGCCTGCAGGGAAATCCGATTTTGAGGGCTACAAATAAGAAGGCAACGATGATTATAAATTGCTCCTGCAGCTACTCCGCATCCGAAGGTGATCGAACCGAACCTGCTAACCACCATGCAGCACATGCAACCACTGCAAGTCCTCACTAGTGAAACTAGTCACTAGGCTCGGAGAGTAGCATTCAGCCTGTCTTGGAAGTGCATGCATCTGCTCATGAAGAGAGTCCAGAGCGTGAGAGTGAAGCAGGACTCGGGTCGCGGGGAGACGAAAACGGAGGGGTAGGATGGCGCACGCGATTTTGACGAGCTAACGCTACCCAACGAACCATACGTCGGACATCCAAAGCTATCCTTTCTTGGAGTTCTGCATGACAGTTCTTATCTTTGTGCGTGCTTCTAGATCATATAGAGGATCGTCGCCAGCGGATCTAGGTACATCCTCGGTCTAAGCCCCGCCCGAGCCGGTGAAATCATCCCTACTAAACCCTGAACCCTAAACTCTAAATTAAACTTCAACCCTATATGGGGGTTTCCGAAAATAGGGGACCCTAATATAGTACCCTAAATAATAGGATCCCTACTATAAGGCTATAAGGACCCCAAAATAAGGTACCCTAATTTTCTGAAACTCCCATATAAACCGTATATAATGGGGTTCAAGGAACCCTCCCTGCTTCCCTAGAAAACCCTGAACCCTAAACCCTAAATTAAACTTCAACACTATATAAACCCTAATGGGGTTTAGGGTGCCCTCGCTCCTTGGCTTCGAGCTTGGTGCCGGTGGCGGGGACTTTGCGCTCCTGCCGTGTCCACAACCCTAAGGGTCCATGTACTCATACAGCATAAACACGGGCCTTAAAGTACCTATATAGGGACTACATTAAGGCCAATGTATATACTATATGAGTACATGGACCCTTAGGGCAATCTTTACCCACGAAGCCCAAAGCCACTGTAGTAACCTTGGGGCCATGAGTCCGGAGTCTCAGAAGCAATATAGGGGTCGAACAAATTACCCATATCTATTTTTTGTGGGGGTTCCTTATTAGAATTATGGTATAATATACCCTAAAGCCCCATTCTAAATTATTAAGGCCCCTGTACATCGCCAGTATGTCAGGCGGCAGTACGCACGAAGCCGGACGGACTTCGGAACGACTGCCTCGGGACCCACATGCAACGGACTAAGGTGCTCACGCGAGCATAGAAATAAATGCAGACAAACACCAATCTCCCTGCCCTACACCCACGACCCCATCCCGAATCCCTGGCTGATGACTGAACTCCTACCCTAGTTGCACATGCTGTGGTCGACACATCGTTGGGGCTGCTAGCTGACGCATCGCAGCACTGGAAATATGGACTGGCCCCGGAATGTGGGGAATCTAGGGTTTAGGAATCAGATATGTCAACCCTATACCCTAAACCTCGAGCATAGGGCACCTGGGGCGTAGCATCATGACCCGGATCTCCGTTGTGCCTCGATGTCCTTCGTCACTTCTTGCTTTACTTGCTGATGTCTGACCGGCTCCTGCAGCTTGTAGCTTCAGCTGAAGGCATCAGCAACAAGATCCCCCAAAATCCTAGCTGAACCCTAAACCCGAAATTGGCAGCTACCTGCGACAGAACATCTCAGACGATGAATACCACGAAGCGATTTCCTGGGAAGAGATCCCCAAGCAACGCTGAACCTGAAGCGGGTTCTGAGACATCGGGGCTTACGAACAACAGGAACGCCTACATCCACGTTGAGACATTCAGAAACTAAATACAGTTAGGGCGGATAAGCTACGCCACAAGCCGAATACAATCAACCTCGATGATCTCTACCTTCAGAATCAAGATGTTTGAAACACACCACCATCTCCCTGACTCGACTCGTGAGACCTCAAACTGACGTCTACAAAGTAGGGGTCAAAGGATGCGGGATGCTTATGTTGCATAATCAGTGTCTTAAATCCTCTAAGGGCAATATCAAGACTCTGGTCAGAAGATCCACGAACAAAACCACATATTGCCCTTTGCTCGACTGCCACAGTCTTTTCAAAAGCCGCAAGACCTTCCTCAAGCACCAGACACTTAGGGTTTAGTCTTTAGGGCTTTAGAGTTTAACCCTAAACCCTAAACCCTAAACCCTACACCCTAAACCCTAAACCCTAAACCCTAAGCCCTAAACCCTAAACCAGTTTAGGGTTTGCGACCGGTCCAGCTGCCAAAACCGACTGCGTCAACCC